CTCCTCAAAGGATATAGATGGTACCAAATGGTCAGTCTCACTTCACCAAAATCTCAGGGGCATTTTTATAAATCATTTTTAGAGACAGCATGCTGTCTTTTAAAAGTACTTGAGGTACCTGTAGTTTCAGCTACAACCAGAACAAACAGCAACCTGGACTTAAGATAGCTGCTTGATAGATAACAACATTTGAAACCAACAATTGAAATTATGTAGAGTGCCTCACAGCACACCCAAATCATACAGAAATGAAGCCTAGAGAAGTAAGTCTAATGACTTTTAAAAATATAAAGATAAAAAAAAATACAGCCAAATCTCAGTTTCCGAGAAATGTATTTTAGATTAAAGCCTTGGTGTTCGTTTTAAAGTGCTTCTCTTGCAATCTTCCAGTTACCCTTTAAACTACACATAGTTTTATACTTTACCTGCTGCAAGTTCAGCTGTTTTATCACAGGCAAAAGGATTTCATCTATCTTTGTCCTGGTCCAGCCAAAGTGATCCTGACAGAATGTGCAGAAAGTTATGGAACTTTACAAAATGGCTATTACTAGTATTTTGTAAACACATAAAATGAAAATTCCTCAAATAAACAACGCCTGGAGGAAAGTTACTCTACTTCAAAGCTTTTTCTACTGCAAAACCAGATAAAATACTCTTAAGTTACTACAACTGACTTATGCGGATGGTTTCAGTATTACGCTACGTATCTTAACCATGCTGTTACATCTCTATTAGTTACAGAACTCTTTCTCTAATATCAACATTTCCAAAAGCATGTCTCAGTGAAGAGAGAAGTCATTTGGCTATACGTTACTGCCATAAGACAAAATACCTGTAAGTAAACCTTATTTTTACGCTTGCACACACTGGAAGTTACATTTACTGTTTAAAACACTATTAGTTCTGCATGCATTGCCATCTACTTTTCAACAATTCACTGCAGCTCAAGCTGCAACAGATGCAAGAAATAGACATTATTGCAAGAAATGCAGTGAATAACTAGGGGTAAAGCGCAGACTGAATCACCATTTCTGACTAGGTTTTGAAACTTATTTAAGATGGGAAACATACATCAGGAGCGTGCAAACAATCCCGCTCTAAGTCTAGAAATAGGCACAGCACAGTTACAGAAATGTAACATCACAACAAACTATTCAGTCCAGCTACGAGACTCTCTTTGCATGCAAAGTGAAGCAGCCCACTCTCTCAGGAGGGCAAAGCAGCCCTGAACGCCACACATGCATGGCTGCATTCCCTTCCATTCCAGAGCGGGTATCATTGTAGGAGAGCACATGCAGGTGGGGCGGGGGGCCCCTCACACCAATGAGATGTTAAGAATTTGACACTCTGTTACTGACTCACTAACTAGCCTTATGAACTTTAATACGAGTACTTGTAGCTAACAAGTCCTGCCATATAGTAAAAGGATATTCTCTGATCTGCTCTACATCAGGCTTCCCCCAGATGAATGAACTCCTTGTCTCATCCACCACAGGCTTCAGGTATGCTTCTGCCACTGCTGGATTTGGAAAACCTGAAGAAAGCTGCAGCTCCCGCAGTTTCTTCTTGA